CCCCCGGGGCCCTGCCACCGAGGAGGTTTTTGACCACCTCAGTGACTTCATCCCCAGAGATTGGAGAGCTCAACCCACTTTTTCCCTAACTTCAGTTAAATGGTTTGTATTTTTGTACAGACAATGTTTACCTATGGAATGCATCCAGTGGGGTATCCAAAAGCAGACATATTGTTCCTGACGTTTGATGTGTGACGTCAGCTTAATATCGGTTTGTAATATCTGTTAATCAGAATCAGAAATTAGGAGTTGAACAATATTGGCAAAAAGTCAACATCGAGCATCTCTAATTTAAACCTATTGTTTCATGTTTGCTTAAAGAATGTTGCAGACCGAGTCCAGAACTCCTCCCTGCAGGGCTCATCCTAACCAGATGAACCACCTCAACTGGCTCCTCTGGACGTGGAGGAGCAGCGGCTCTACTCTGAGTCCCTCCTGGATGACTGAGCTTCTCAGCCTATCTCTAAGGGAGAGCCCAGACACCCTGCAGAGGAAACTCATTTCAGCTGCTTGTATCAGTGATCTCCTCCTTTCAGTCACTACCCAAAGCTCCTGACCATAGATGATGGTAGGAACGTAGACTGACCGATAAATCAGGCTCAGCTTTCGCTTCAGCACGACACATTGGTACAGCACCAATCCGCCCTGAGACCCTGAGATACTTAAACTCCTCCACTTGGGGCAGGACATCTTCCTCTTACTAGAGGAGGCACTCTACCCTTAACTGGCTCATCGTGGCTTTGTTTCTCACACTCTGCTGCGAACCGCTCCAGTGAGTTCACGATCAGGATCTGATGAAGCCAATAGGACCACATCACCCACAAAAAGCAGAGATGTGATCCTAAGGTCACCAAAACGGATCCCCTCAGCACCTTGGCTGTGCAAAGAAATTCTGTCCATAAAAGTTATGAACAGAATCGGTGACTAAGGACAACCTTGGCGGAGTCCAACTCTCACCGGAAACGAGTCTGACTTACTACCGGCAATGTGGACCAAGCTCTGGCACCRGTCGTACAGGGACCTAACAGCCCTTTTCAACGGGCTTGGTGGCCTGAATAGACCTTACCAGAGAGGCTCAGAAGTATGATCCCAGTGTAGTTAGAACACACTCTGCGGTCCCCCTTTTTAAATAGGGGGACCACCATCCCGGTCTGCCATACTAAGGGAACTGCCCCCGATGTCCACAGTGAGTTGTAGAGTCACGTCAACCAACACAACCCCACAAATAGAAGACTAGTAACACATTTTTGTTCCTTAACTTTTTCCTCAAAAATATATTAATGCTGCAGCTGTATAACTAATAGTTTAAGTTACTTACGCACTTACTCAAGTTCTCTGAAGCATGTGAGATATACTGTCTGCTAATGTTCAGCCAAACACATTAATGATAATTGAACATGCAGACGAAACGTGACCCAAAGGGTGGTGTGGACAAAACCCAGGGGTTGTTGAAGGTAATGAAGTGGAATATTTTGCAATAAGCAAATCAGTCACGTGATTTCAAACTAAAAAAGCAGCAACAACCCACAAACAAACAAACAACATCTGAAGCCAGCCACTTTAAAGGCCTGGTGAAGAATCACACTGGAGAAAACCCATCCATGTGTGATGTTTAATGGATTTCAGACTTTGATAAAACATGCATGTTTTTGATCAGCAAGGAAACAACAAGAAWCCACAGGAAAAACAAACTCGGGCACAGAAAGATCATCAGAACCAAAACTGAACAGTTTGGTATATGAATAGTCACAACGATTTGTTAAAGAGTTCAAACTCTGTTCTAGTTCTCCCATTTTCACCCAACCTAGATTGATTACAGTGAAAAATATCCACTTTTCTTCAAAGCACTGAGGCAAAAACTGTGTTCCCTGACCACGATTACAGATCTGGAGGGTTTTTGTGTGAGGAACCTCCTCTTACATTTGTGGAAGGTGTGATGTAGACTTTAATTTTCTCATAAAAGAAGAAAAGATGTTTGATGTAAAGTAAAGGGAATGAAGACATGCTGGGGAGATGACTGCTTTTGATGACTGCCTGCTGGGGTCTGGGCTTCCAGTCACAGGTAGGCAGGAATGTGATTGTCTTCAGAGATAGAAAGATTAAAGAACTGAGCAGTCTACTGGGGCAGTCTTTGAACACTTCTGCTGGGGATGATAGCTCTGTACATGCACTCTTAAGACCTCAACATACATGCATCTGAATGCATGAGCTATTGGGACTCTGCCCACATGCACATACTTCTATTCATGCTATTTTGGGATCAGCATCACCATGTCTTTGACTCTGGGGTTTACATTTTTACACTCCATTCCTAATCAAAGATTTTCACAGAAAACAGAACCACATGGATGATGTTCACAATAACTGACTGTAAAAATGGATATTAAGGTAGAGTTTTCAACTTTTATAACAACTCTCGTCTCAAAAGGTCAAAGTGGGTCATTAAAAGTCTTATTTATAAACCTTTACATGATTATTTTACATAAAATTTGGCGTTACTGGCGAGCACAAACAGTGGCAGCTGCTAGCTTCTACCTCAGCCTGTTCCAGCATCAGGTACTTTTGGCAGGAATATTTTTTTGAGCAGTCAACATTTCAYTTTATAAAATGTTAGCATGAACCGCTATGACATTTTAAGAATTGTAGGTTTTTAAAGAATAACTAATTGCAAAATAAACTTTTTCTATTGCAGATAAACTGTCTGAATTGTGCCTTTAGGGTGTTATCTCTATATTTCTGTGMTAATGTTGGCATTTACGTGTAAATTTGATTAATTCAGCCATACTTTGTCTAAAACTGACTTAGTGCTGCTCTTTATGGGTTGAACAGGGGCTACTGCAGTTTAATTTTCCCATCGATTGAAACGGTACATCTTGGTACATGCTGTCATCACATCTCCTGGTCTCTCTGAGACACATCCCTGCACCGAGTTAGGAGTTGGAACACTACGATGAAAGTTTAACCGTTTTGAACATTAACATCATTAACAGTTAATTATCATTAACAGCGCATGTTAACAATGATGCTGCTAACATCACTTCAGCACTCAGAAACTGGACCCATTTTGTCCTCCATTGCCTCGGCAGCACTGGCTTCATGCATCGCTGAGTCAGCACCTTGAGCCAGCAGCTTAATTCAWTGAGGCTCAGGTCCGCTGCTGATGAGTCGCAGGACTCTTGCACCTCATTATATTGAAAAAAATCAAAATATAATCAATCATGTCTTTTAAGTTGCAAAATAAGAGTCTTACCACGGTTGTATCTGCACTGCTGCATAATTTTTTTGCCAGTTTGTCTGAACAAGTATAGGTTCTTGAAATGTGAAAATGTTTAGGTACCATACCCAGGTTATGATACGATGGCAACAAGTCTCCTCCCACAATATTTATTTAAAAGAAGCGTCTGTGCTATTTTGTCTCTTCCTCTCATGTTTTGATTCACATTTGTCTTTTCTCTCTACGGCACCATCTTTTGAATGAAAGTTTCCTTATCTTACTTGCGTTCTCATTGCACATAGTCCACATCATCACAAAGACCAGGTGCCTCATGCATAAAGGATTGCACAGTTTTCACACTAAAAGTTGACGTACAGACAAATTTAGAAAAGTGCGCCGCAACAAAATATTCAGATGTATAAAACTATGCGCACGCAGGAACCTGCGCGCGCATAGTTTTATACATCTGAATAAAACTGTGCGCACAGTTTTATACATCTGAATAAAACTGTGCTCACAGTTTTATACATCTGAATAAAACTGTGCTCACAGTTTTATACATCTGAATAAAACTGTGCTCACAGTTTTACACATCTGAATAAAACTGTGCGCACAGTTTTACACATCTGAATAAAACTGTGCGCACAGTTTTATACATCTGAATAAAACTGTGCGCACAGTTTTATACATCTGAATAAAACTGTGCGCATGCAGGTTCAGTTTTATACATCTGAATAAAACTGTGCGCACGCAGGTTCCTGCGCACCTTTCCTTTATACATCCCAATGAACGTGGAACTGAGACTCCTCCCCTGACACACCTCCATTTAAATCTGTAAAATAGATGTAAAAGTGTCCAGAGTGTGAGGTTCTCCTCAGATTGTCCTCTCTGTGGGATCAGAAATGATTTTTAGATGCAGGAAAATTATACATTAAATGGAGAATGAGTGAGAAAACTGTCTAAATAAGTAGTGGGGTGTAAAAATGAGTTTGCCACTCGCAAAGGTGTGTGTGTGTGTTGGTGTGTACACATGTGTGCTGTTATTTTCAGCGGTGCATGAGACTGACAGACATTTCCACCTTTACACGTCTTTAATAAATGAGTGTAAACACGCACACTTTCGCACAACGTTGGTTTTAATACATCCCAACGTGAGCGTAGAACCTGGAGCACGCAACTTTTTTATGTGTACGCACCGTTTATACATGAGGACCCTGTGCCACACAGTGGTCTTTGAAGATAGATAAAAAAAAWTTACATCCCACTGATCTTATGGTCAAGCTGTAGCCAGTTAAATGTTCAGTCAGAACAGTTGAGCTGAAACTGGACCATTAGAGGACCAGACTCATAAGATGGGAAGTGTGTTCTGCAGGCACAAGACATGCAGGTAAAAGTTTTACACACTTTAATGGAAAACGAAATGTCTTCAAACTATTTACTGTGGAAATTGGAAAAAAAACAGCACATCATTATTTTAAATTAAAATTTATGACATTTTTCCCCAGTTGAAACCATATATGCACAGAAAATATGCAGCTCAGACAACCTTAACATTCTCATCAGGTGCACCAGCCAAATAAGACAAGCTGTTTACAATATGGACACCTGTGCATTTTGGCAAGAGAGTAAGAAATTGGATTTTATTACACAGTCAAATCCATGTAATAAGTTGATCCTAATGCAGAGTATGCAGGCAGATGAAAACCAGTACTATATTGTAGAAGAAATGTAATCTGAATTGTTGTGCCAGTGCAATCAGAATATTTTTTGTAGCACTTCATGCCAGACTGCTATAGATAGTTTGGCCTCATGGAGAGTTTGCAATAATATCAAAACCCACAGCTGACTCCAGAATTTCTTATTATGTCCGACATTATTAAATTCTTGGGTTTCCTTAGGTATTTTTCAATCAAATATTAGCAAATTTAACAGAAATGTTTCTCAATAAAACATTATACACTCCAGGTTTAAAAGGCTTGTGCAGAAAAACATTTTTTCTCACTTAAAAAAAGATTCAAACATAAAACAATCTAGTTACAAAGAAATGCGCTGTTTGCTCACATCATCCATTGCCATGAGCACTTTCTGCCTCAAAGCAATTATTTCTGAAACAGAGCTCATGAAACAAGAGCATCATAATTATACAGGCAGCCAGGAAAACACATTTCAAGTGACACAGCTGACRAATTAAACTAATCATTTTACACTGCAGAAAAGAAGAAAAGGTGATGGTGGAATTGGGTTGGAACGATGGCCATTTACTGTCAAAACACCTACAGTATTTTGGCTTTGTTTCTGTTAAATTGCTACCTGTAGGGCTGCCTTTCTAAATGGAATGTTGTTTCAGGACGAGGGGCTGTTATAAATCTCTGTGCTGGTAAAAAATGGTTGAGTGGAAAGCTGTGGAAGGTTGGATAAATCACTGCTGGTCCTTAAACTTCACCACTATGCTATATTTTTCTAAAGAATTGGTCTCATTGGAGTTGGTCGTCTGTTACATTAAAGCTCCAAATTAAACTCCTTTCCTTACTGTTTGTTTCTCCTTTTTTCCGCAGCCATCTTGTACACTTCCTGCATCCTGGTTGGAGTTTTTATCAACAGCAGTGTCCCGATATTCTTTGAGCTCTTTATTGAGACTGTGTACCCTGTTCCTGAAGGCATCACCTGTGGGGTTGTCACTTTCCTGGGAAACCTGGCCACTGGCTTGCTCCTCTTCTTCCTCACCTTTTACTGCACAGGTAAAACTTACCCCTTTTACTTTGTAACTTTTTAAATGTCTCTTAACGGAACGCCCGTGTGCCATTTTGTATTTGTTTTTTGGTTTTTTAAGTATAATATCTGTTTCCTGTTCCGCCTGTGTCCGTGTGCAGTGCATCAAACTTGACGTCTAGGCCCTCCTCTTTCGATTGACACCTCATTTGACCAACTGGGTTCTAGTTTCGCCTGTCTAGGGCCAATAATTTATCAGTGGTGACCAACTTCCGGTTTCCGTCTTTCTAGCTTTGATTGACTGTAAAATCGGCCAATCAGCTCTGAGCTTCGTTCTGACGCCACAGCTGTGTAGCCAATCACCGTACCTTTCATTTAATGTATAAATAGAGGGGGTGGGAACTTCGTTATTGATGGAAGATGACAACACACTGGAGGCGGCCATGTTGCGGCAGTGTTACAATGCTAAGGAAGACAGCTAACGCTCACAGGAAAACATTTTCCACCGTTTTTTGTCCAGTTAGCTGACGAAACCTGCTGATAAGATGAAAATATATTTGTTATTAAGAGTTTTGTGTGCTTCAAGACATGGAAGAGGGATTTTTGTGGGCAGGAGAAGTATTTTGTTTGGATAAAAAGACTTCCGGTCGGCCATTTTGAATTGCTAATTTGGACATATTTAAGGACAAATATGCATCAAATGTGAGTGAAAAACAAATATTTTTTCACTGCTGGTGGTTTTATAAGCTGTGTTAAATGTGTTATGAAAGATATAAGGATATATTTGTTTATTCTTGCGGTTTGGCTGGTTATTGGTGGAAATTTGGCTGAAAGTACAGTGTTGGTGTAAATATTTATGCATATTAATATATATATTTTAAATTAATCGTGCTGTGAGTAAATATGGATGGTAGAATGTGTTTTRTGGGGTTTTATCTTTAATTTGAGCTCAGAGTGAAGTCAGTGTGTTGAAATTAAAGTGTTTTAGACAAACTGTACAGTTTGGACACATTGTACATGTGTACAAATATGCAAATGAGACATGCTGGATTGCACTGTGTCTCAAATATTCATATTTTACGCTACTGTTACCAAATTTGAACTGGTAATAGTTGAGAATTAATATTTTAGCCCAGTAAAATTTGTTTGATAATATCTCATTCCCTTCATATTTATTTTAATTATTAATAATAAAAAATAAAAATTTAGGGAGAAAAATATCTTGATTTTTGTGTATTTTACTTCARTATACTAAATACTAGTTACAGKTACAAAGAATATGACTGCTGAAATTAAAAATTCAGATTATTAGCTTTAAAAAGAGACCAAGCTTGTGAATTTACTCTACAGGGTTCAAAAGCAGCACTTCATTTAATTTGTGTGTACTTTTTAAGACGTTTTATGGTATTTTATGCCCGAAGGTGAACAGGTTTTAAACCTGTTTACTGAATTCACTTTTTTAAACGCTGCTTCAACAGGTTTTTATTGTTTAGTGTTTGTTATTGTGAGTTTAAAGAGAAAGAGCTGCAACATTTTTGTCTTTCTCTGAAGTTTTCTATTACCCTCAAAGTCTACTTTACGTCCAAAATCAACAGGCTTCATTGTTTTCTAAAATACAGTTTAAGCCTTGTAGATGCTGCAGATAAAACACGGACAGAAGGAAAATTAGGCTCCGATGGTAATTCACACATTCAACACAAAGACAGACAAACTCTCTGTTGTAATTTAGCGTCTGCTTTATGTGTGAGCCGGCTGTAAAACCCAGTTTGATGTGGTGATTCAGGCGCACAGCTGTGGGGACAGCAAGTGGTCTGCTTCTCGCCTGCCTGTTGGCCTCAGCACGAGAAAACAAAATTAGATTAAAGTGCGCTCAGTCACAGATGTAAGCAGCTACCTGTGTGTTTGTGTGTAGATTTAAAACTGTGTGTGTGTGTGAGTTCATACCCAGGACTGTGCTGATATCTGGCTGTAGCTCTTTGGTTTCCTAAAGCTGAAATCAGCAGCTGAGATGCATCCATCGTTTGACACACACTGTCTGTCTCCTGTTTGTTTGGGTGAATAAGAGATATGTTTTCAGACTGTGATAAATATTCATGAACGTTAGATTCATCCTCCTCCACCAAGTTTCTGCTGGCTTATATCAGCTGCTGCCTGACTTTTGGGTTGTAGCTCTGAGTTTGAGGTTATTTTTCTAACACAGGAGGAGGTGAATATTGTTTTTCACCTGTGAACCCCTCAGGACCCCCTAACAAGCAGAACAAAACAATAGTTTGTTTTGTGGTTTAAAACTGATCTCAAATATTTACAGAAGACTAAATGCAAAGATTAAAAAGTAAAAGTTCACTATAAGAAAGTAATGTAATTACAGATTAATCTGTGGGTTTATCTTTAGAATAGAATACATTTTGTTTTCATCCTGTTTTTAACTGTTAAGTTTTAACAAGTTAATGTTTTGTTAAATACCAAGATAATGTAATAAATTATTTGTACGCCTAGTGGTTATGGAGTAATTGTTGTACAAATTGATGGAACTGCTGTTAAAGGGATCCATGATTAGTTGTAACATTAGACTATATTTAATAAACATATATTTTAACTGTAAAATAAAGACTGTAAAAATACTGTAGGATTAGTTTTTATAATTTTTAAACTAAAAGTTTAAAAATATATTTTAACAAGGACGGAGCCATTTTATTTCCACACAAAGCATTCTGGGTAAATGATGACATCAACTGGGTCATCGGTGCGAGGCTGCTAGTGAGCTATATCCACCTTGAAGGTTAATCTTGGACAATATCTGATGAT